TTTCTCAATTTTATCATCCTTAAATGTACCCCCCACTTCGCCTTACCTCTAATTTGTGTTACTCCATTTATGATGGTTCTATAAATATTTCGTCAAGTATATTGACTCAGTACTTATGACGCATTGAATACAACAGACACGGACTGACAAACCGACATAAATGAGAAACACGGACTTGTGTGATATATTCAAGCAACAGAAAACCTGTGAACCGAAGATTGAATATTATCGCAAGTTTAATACTCCCATCGTTCATCGTTTAGGTAGTCCTAGATTTTGAAAATTGATCCAGAGGAGGCGAAAATTAAATCACTGGAACATGGTGTTACAATGTTTCAGAGATTCCTGCTAATTTTCAGACATTTTTTGGAGGGGATGTAAATTGTAGTTTGGAAGTTGTATTCGGTAAATGATTGTAAATTGTTGCATATTTGGTATGAGTAATTCTGGCTTAAACAGAATTTTTTATACATAAACCACTAAGCCCTCAACACCCATGGGCGCCAGTTCCAAATCCAATGCGGATATACAAGGAAAGTGGTAGATCATATTTCTTTTTGCCTTATGCTACATAGTCTTTTTACATTTTGGAGCTGACGTAGAGATTTTATATAATGAAGTTTCTCCATTATTCCGTGAAATAAGATTTTCAGAAGGAAAATAGGATCGTTGCCGTGTGGGAAGAACAGTCAATCCATTTATTTTTATACTGCATTTTGTGGAATACACTGTGGAGATGAATAATAATGATTGTAATAACACCGCTTCGTAGTCAACGAGGCGTACGCCCCATGTCAAGATAATAGAATTAATTATCTAAAATGACTACCTGTTCGTGTTCCTTCCAGCGTGTACGAGGCGCCGAAAGCGAAACCGGTGCACGAGGTGTGCATGGGTAACAGTTGGTCCGATAATCTCCACAAAGCTCTTATGAAATTCAACAACTGGTTGTGCGTCTATGCGACTTTCACTTTTTCGCTTTTCATCCGTTTTATATGTGGCTTCAAAAGGTGCTAAGTAGATTAACACTATACCGCCCACGTGAATGGTTTTAACTTAGAAATACGCGATTTTGTTTTTAATTTTGGAACTGTTCCAAAGTGCAGTTTAACTGTAATTTTACCGAAAACTGGAAGTTAACTCTTGAATCGCGTTTTTCAATGCCAAATTTGTCTTGAAATGGCAGTTACCCTTAACCAAATGGCCCTCTATGGGTTGAGTAGTAACTTGTAGTTAAACCGCAGTTCACATAATATATCACAGATGACACGAGAAACAAACACCGAACGTCACAAAACACACGGAGTTCAAGCACAGAAGCAGAGTTGCCTCATCAACATAAGGCGACCAAATTTCCTAAGCACGCAAGTTGGTTGCCAATTTAATAGCTAGTACACAATAAAACGTCTCTGTCGCTTTACAGTCTCATAACACAGATTGAGTGGCTGTTGCCGGCTTAAAGCTGGCGCTGGAGATTTTGGTACTTGCCGCAACACTTGATAGCAAAATTCACGAGTTTGTCGATAAAACAATGTCAATAACGTTCCTCGACCATTAATTAGTAAGTAAACGCATTTTTAAATCTTCGTATTGTGGTTCAAACAACAACAACAAGTATTTGTCATTTTGCGATAAGGTTTCTAGTTGTCTATAACCTGAACCAACATTCAATCGACGTCGTATTATGTAAAAATGTAAGAGGCACACTCCACCGATCACCGCGTTCTAAGTTGCAATTATTATCTTTTTTGCATGTCTAATTTATTCCGGTGTAGCACACATTTGCTATGTTTATACCGCAATTAGTGTTACGCATGCTGACACAGTTCAATAAATATCTGTGTCTACGGGACGACTGGAGCTATTTGAATTGACTCATCTGTAGTTTTTACAATCCTTTACAGGATGTTCCAGAATAAGATGGGTATAAAATCCAAAAATAATTCCCAGAAAATATCCTACAGAGACCTCCCAAATGGAGGCACAGAAGTCGATATTGGGAATGTGCTTCTCTTAACTAGAACTTTTGAATAATACATTTATCTCGGACGTAATACGCGTTTATGTTCCTTAAGCCCGGTTTTCTAATTGCTGGTGAAGTGCCAAGTTTGGTAACTGTAGCTCGTAAGTTAACTATTAGTTGTCCTTGAATTCGTTTTTCAACTTCTGGTTAGCTAACCGTAACTATTGATCTGGCAACGCCGCTTCTTCGCCTGAATTATCGTGTTCTGTGCATTTTGAGACGTCTGATGTTTATGTGTCGTATCATTCGTGACAACTCATGTCACTGTCAAGCAAAAAGGTTAGGTATTGCGCTTTTCGAGTTAACCTGTAGAAGCTCCTTTAGTTAAAACCTTTTAAGGACAAACATGACACTGAAAAACGCGTTTCGAGATTCAACTTCTAGTTAGCAGTGACAACCCCCAGAGGTTCGCAGTTTGGGCTCTGGATACTGGAAATGTGTTTCTTTTAACTAGAACTTTTGAATAATAGATTTACCTCGGGCGTAATACGCGCTTATATTCCTTAAGCCCGGTTTTCTAATTGCTGTTGAAGAGCGAAGTTTGGTAACTGTAACTGGCAAGTTAACTACTTATTAGTTGTCCTTAAATTGGTTTTTCAACTTCTGGCTAGCTAACCATAGCTAATAATCTGGCAACGCCGCCTCTGTGCCTGAATTATCGTGTTCTGTGCATTTTGTGACGCTTGATGTTTGTGTCTTGTATCATTCTTGACAACTCATGTCACTGTCAAGCAAAAAAATAAGGCATTGCGCTTTTCTAGTTAACGTGTAGATGGTCCTTTAGTTGAAACCTTTTTATGACAAACATGACACTGAAAAACGAATTTTGAGATTCAACTTCTAGTTAGCAGCGAAAACCCCCAGAGGTTCGCATTTTGGGCTCTGGATACTGGAAATATGTTTCTTTTAACTAGAACTTTTGAATAATAGATTTACCTCGGGTAGCGCCGCCTCTTCGCCTGAATTATCGTGTTCTGTGCATTTTGTGACGCTTGATGTTTGTGTCTTGTATCATTCGTGACAACTCATGTCACTGTCAAGCAAAAAGGTTGGCGATTGTGCTTTTCTAGTTAACCTGTAGATGATCTTTTAGTTGAAATCTTTTTAGGACAAACATTACACTGAAAATCGCGTTTTGAGTTTCAACTTCTTGTTAGCAGTAACTGTCCCCAGAATTTCGCAGTTTGGACTCTAATTTCACATCGCTGACCAATAAGCGCCCACTTAGTTCCCCGAATCTATTTTCTGCAACATCCCAAAAAAGCACGTTCTATTTATTACTCACAACCGCATTATGCAGATCTAATCAAAATTTTCATGGGAAGCCAAATAGGAGCCACATGCAGCTCAAGCTCTACGTTTGAAGGGGCCTCCGGGAAGAGCGAAATCCCGAACCCTACTTTACCTCTTTACCTCTGGTTTTTTTGGATTGGTTATTGGGGGCCACCCAGCAAGCCGGTCCCTTAGGCACGTGCCGCTAGGCTTATAGAGAAAATACGTAATAGTTGGCACATACATGTACAGCTCAGTACCTGTTACACAGTATATAACAGAACTATGAACTATAAAATCAGGTACTTTCACTTTCATGCAAGATTACCATCGTCATCACGGCAGTGTCTTCAGTTTGGTCGATATTAACACAATGACGTGGGCAATAAAAGACAAAAAGTTTCAATTATTCACGGTTTCCGATTTAACGGGTGAATCTTCGAAATCACTTTTGTTTTCTTGCGGTGACTGTTTCTTTGGTTTTGTTTACGATTCCATCGATTGGATTTTTGTCATCAATCACGCTGGTTTGGCTTAGTTTGGTCAAAGTATACGTATATAGACTACGGATAATAGGATCACTCTGCGGTCAAACCTAAGTCTCGAGACAGCAAAAAGCAGTCGGGGGGACATTAGGTAGTAATAAAAAATACTGGACCCGTATGTCAGGAGCTGAAAAAAGCTTTTATTTTTATAGTAGTAGTGATGGAGGGAGGCAACGCTTGGCAAGCAGGCCACAACATGCTTATCAACTAATCTATCGAACCTTCCTGATATCCTAATGAAGGTCAAGATATCTGACCACTCTGCTGGGGTGCATTTGTAAATCACTTGGTAATGTAATACCGTACATGGTAATGGAATGTAGATTGACAGATGAAATGTTACTTTGCAATACTGTGAAACTTTATTTTTAGAACGCCTAAATTATTACAGAGTCATGTTGATGACAGCCGACTAATTTCTAACCACGTTTTTTGCGACTCTTGTAATTATTATAAGATCCTAGGGATACGGGGTAGCAATTATCATGAAAAATATATATGCAATTTTGAGCAGTTTTTGATAAACAAATAAAATAAACAAACAATGAACCATGAGATTGACAAGTGACAGAACTCTTATTCCCAAGGTTTTGAGCTTGCAGCACACTTTTGACGTTTCAGAAGGATTACGTTGTGCTATAACAGTTTACGAACGCAGCCCTGAGTATGCGATTTCGCTATCAATCTCCATATATCCGAATATCCCAGCACTTATGAGTTACGGGGAAAAGCCTAGAGAGTGAAATGCTGAATCGTCCTGCTCCTAGTACTCGTACACGAGGGAGAATCTTTTTCCACTTTTGGAAGCACAAATGACAATTTAGTCTACGCTGGCTGGTGAGAACCCTCACCAAAAGATTGAGTGATCCTCTATCTCAATAGCCAGCGCGTCTGGCGTTTTTCGGGACTCGCTATGAACCTCTTGGGCTGCAGTGATCTTTTCCTGGCTACACTTTTCCCAGTAAATATCGTTTCTCCATTCAATCATTATGTTTGTAACTATACAGTTCTTTCTCGCCAGTTAAAGCGATAAGTAAAAAAACTGAGATTAGGTTGAAAATGGCAAAGCTTATTACTCTAGACATTGAGTTGGCCACGTTCCAACAGAGACGTGGAACAAGAAAATTTATCTGTTTTTCATGGTATGAAGTTATACTTACGTGTAATTCGTCACTGGGAATGATTTTGCTGATTCCGATGAATGAATTTGGATCCGCCACTAGCCATATTCCTACCACTAGTACTGCTGATCCTGCTAACTGCAAAATAAAGAAAATTTGTTTTAATATATCACGTTGTTACAATTATCTGTATATGCCAAAATTCAAGGAGATTCGAGGAAATCCGACGCAATTAGAGGAGATCCGAGAGTATCCAAGGAAATTTCATATCCTCTTGGGAGAAAATCCAAGGCAATCTGGGCTGAATATAAAAAGCTATCCGTGTATCTACGCATGCGCATGTGATAGACAGATAGATGTTGATCGCCATCATAGCCTATGGTTGCTAATGGTAGGGTACCCCGATAGGGAATTTTGGGATTTACCTTATTTTGCATCCTACCATACAGACTGTAACAAAAGTTTAGAACGCATCGAATATCTGACGTATGACTCCTCTATTTTTTTAAAATTGGTAGGTTTAGGTTCGAAAACACGACGGATCCATTAATGATATCCGCGATGTTGCCAAGTCTACAGATTTTCAGAAACTGATAGCAACCTTTCTTTTCCTATGAAATGCCATACGTTTTATTTGATATACAGGGTGGCGCATCGAAAACGAAACAGACACATTTACTGGCAGCTCAGTTTTTTTTTTGGAAAAACGCTCAGATCCGTCGATTTTGTTTTCGAGGAGGACACAAGTTTGTACTACTTTCAGAAGAAATTTGACTAAAAGAATTTACTTAATACGTAAATGCTTTTCTTCACTACGCCCATGGTTTGTTTATCATTTTGTTGTTGAAAATAGCTGTTGGAGCGTTTTTTATGGCAAAAAAGTTATTTCTTGAAGAAAGATAAGGAAATATCTCGTACTTATTTTAAATAGGAATTTAGTACATATACTAAGTGACATATAAATCCGAACACCCAGTTTAAATGGTTTTATTTTAATAAAAGTTGGTGAATGTATTTATCTTACTGTAAATAACAAGTGAAAAAATTTTCAGCCTTATCAGTTGGACATTCCGGTTTTTATACTGCTTTTTTTTAATTCACTAACGCTCTAAAAATGAATATTTCAGCCGCAGTAAAGAATCAACGTTGGCGGATTTTGGTTCTTGACATCTTTTACGATCGGTTACGATGCCTAGAGTACGGAGACCTGTACGATTTCGTCAACTTAGTGAGTTTGATAGGGGCCGTATAGTGGGACTTCGGGAAGCTGGATTTTCTTTTCGGGCAATTGCAGTTAGAGTGCAAAGAAGTGTAGACACTGTGGTTAGGTGTTGTCAGGCATGGCTTCGAGAAGGCCGTACGCAAAGAGCAAGGGGCACTGGACGCCGCCGTAGAACAACAGACCGTGAAGATCGCCGCCTAAGATTATTGGCCTTAAGGGACCGTTTCTCCACTACCAGGTCCATTGCAAATGAATGGTTTGCAGAACACGGAAGACCTATTGACATGCGAAGTGTTTACCGACGAATGAGAAGTTTTGGCTTGTTTTCATAACGGCCACACTGGGTGCTCCCTTTAACTCGAGAACACCGACGTAATCGCCTTGAGCGGTGCAGACAACGGTCACTCTGGGATCAGGAATGGAACAGTATTGTCTTTAGTGACGAGTCTCGATTTTGTTTAGCCATGCACGATAGTCGTGCCAGGGTTAGAAGGCGACGTGGTGAAAGGAGGAATCTACAGTTTTTTGTTGAAAGACATGTTCATCACACTGTTGGAGTTAGGGTTTGGGGTGCTATAGCTTATGGTTCCAGGTCACCTTTAATCTTCATCAGAGGTAACATGAACGCGCAGCGTTATATCCACGAAGTTCTAGAACCCCATCTTTTACCCTATCTTGACACCCTGGCAGATCCAACTTTCCAACAAGATAATGCCCGACCACATGTTGCAAGCGTCACAATAGACTTCTTTCAACATAATGATGTCACATTGTTACCATGGCCACCAAGATCTCCCGACTTATCCCCAATTGAGCACGTGTGGGATATGATGGGTAGGAGATTGCTCAATTTGCAACGTCCTCCTCAGACTCTAGAAGCACTTCGAGAGGAGTTGGTGGTTGCCTGGAATGAGATACCACAGGAGGACATTGACCACCTGATCAGAAGCATGCCTAGGCGCGTTGGAGAATGCGTAGCACATCAGGGTGCATCCACACATTTTTAAAGGTCAAAGGGCTTTAAAGCAGTGCAATCATTTTGAAATTTTTATCATTTACTTATTATGCTTCATTAAGTACTTATACAAAATTTTATTAAAATAAAACCATTTAAGCTGGGTGTTCGGATTTATATGTCACTTAGTATAGTTTGCGATTGATTTGACCAAACTTTGTTGCTAAAATAACTTGTAACGCTTTATTACATAAATTAACCATGGTATATTCCACAGCAGAAAAAGTTGAAATCATCGAAATATTTTTCGGAAATAATCAGTGCGCTAATATAACAGCAGAAATATTTAATGATCGACATGAGAACAGTAACGTGCATCGAAAATATGTTCTAGAACTTGTAGCTTAATTTCGGGAAACTGGGTTAGTCGCCATTAAAAAACGCAACATTGAAAATCCCATAAGGAACAGAAGTGGGGGTTTTAGGACAAGTTTATGTAGATCCTACGTTAAGTACCCGCAAATTGGAGACTGTGTTGGTGTTAGTCGACGTACTGTCCAACGGATTCTAAAGGTCCATAGTGTTCATCCGTATAAAATTCACCTGGTACAAGAACTTAATGAATACAATTTTGATCGGCGATTACAATTTTGTGAATATATGAGTGCACGAATTATAAACGATGAACATTTTCTATTCAACACTTGCTTTTCCGACAAATGTTCCTTTTTCTTAAATGGCATAGTAAATCGTCATAACTGCCGATATTGGTTCGATTCTAATCCCAGAATTTATCATGAGGTTCATACACAGCAGCCACAAAAATTAAATGTTTGGGCTGGTATTTTTGGCGATCATTTAGTTGGTCCTTTTTTCTTACCTGGAAATTTGACCGGTGAAATATATTTGGAATTACTGGAAGACGCCATAGATCCTGCATTAACAGCCATAATTGTAAATCAGAATGGTCGGCAGTACATTGCGAATAGGTTGATGTTCCAACATGTTGGTGCCCCACCACATTACGCATTACGTGTTCGACAATATTTAGATCATACGTTTCCAGATCGATGGATTGGTAGAAGAGTTGCCATTGAATGACCCCAAAGATCGCCAGATTTATCACCTTTAGATTTCTTTATGTGACAAAGAATTGTGAATGAGTGCCTTCAAATTACTCCTCAAATATTGCAAAATGTGCGGCAACGTTTTGAGCAAAATCTTTATTATTGCATGGAGAGTCATGGTGGCCATTTTCAACATTTACTTGCCTAACGGGTCAGTTCATTCTTCATTTTTAAATTACTTTGCTGCCAAATGTATTGATCTCCACTAATGATGATGTATTAGTTTTATTTAAGCTTTAAATCAATAAATCTTCAAAACTACTGAACTGAAATACATTAATTTTATATCATTATAAAGGGAATTGAAAGACCTTTAAAATAAGGTATCACTCGACCCCCCTTTCCATTTAAGATTTTGGGGGTGGAGTCATCCCCGCTTAGGGGGCTGCACGTGCTAACGTGATTTTTTGCCAAACTTGTGTCCCCCTCGAAAACAAAATCGACGGGTCTGAGCGTTTTTCAAAAAAAACTGAGCTGCCAGTAAATTCGTCTGTTTCGTGCGCCACCTTGTATGTATTCTGCGAGAAAATCTGAATACATTCTATTGAACATACTTTGGCGTAGATCTCATACTTTTCGAAATATTAGCGGTCAAACATTACTATTTAAACAATAAAAGGTATTTTTTCACCTAAGCAATGAGGGGTATCGAAAGTAATTTTCTGTGATTTGTGACATTCAAAAGTCCGTTGTTAGTAGAGTTATGAATGATTCATTCAACTGAAATCGAGAGAATAGAAATTCTAATGATTCTGGTTTATGACGATCGTCGACACACACAGCAAAAAGTGTTTTATTGTTATTTCGAAAACTATGAAGTCTACGTCAGAGTATGCTTATATAGCATTCCATAAGAAAAACAGACGCTGCTATCATTTAAAAAACAAATAGAGGAAGCATTCGTCAGATGTTCCAGACTTTTGTTGCAGTCTGTACCTATATAAACCCTTTATACAGGTGGTAACTACTTCTAGGTCAGTCGATCGAGAATAGTAAAAAAACGATGCTTAAAATATTCGTGGGCGTCAAACTAAGATAAGGTGGGTAAATTACATGCTGATGATTTGAGTGTGGCGTAAAGGAGTAGGAGCGTTACAAACTTGCAAGAAAACTTTATAACGAATGAAGATAACGACATGCGGTTTTCATTAGATTGTAGGATTCTTCGTGCACTTTTGAGTATTGGAAAATAATACCATTGCAACTGAAAGTTTTCGCAAAAACCGCCTCTCTAATTTTCGGATTAGAATTACTGCCCCTAGTGGCCAATTTAAAAAGGTAAAAATAGTTTCCAGCAATTACTCTTGACCACTTTTGTAATAAATATTTTTAACCGATAACTGAAGGTTGACTGGTTGCCAAAATACAGCCGGCGTATTCTATTAACGGTTCACCCGGTACAAACCTGCAGATTATACCTCCAGTATGAGTGATATGTGGGACATGTACAATATCCATATATGCTCTCGAGTATTTCTATGTAACTTTTTTACATTTTTGGCAACTTTTAGACACTCCTCCCCATCACTAAAAGTGTATACGAGTCCTATATCGCGCAACCTTTTCTCCTTTCTGCGATCTAATCTTCAAAGCCCAATAGATCGCTATGAAGCTCGAGTAACTACATAACGATGGCTTAGTTCTAATACGGTGTATCCCCAAAAAGCGAGTTTTACAGTATGAAGAAAAAACGATTTATTCAAGATAACTTTGTCATTTAAAGCTGCTGGATGTTTTTATTATCACATTTGAGATTAGCTTGATCTGTTTTAGACAAAATATCGACCAGTAGAGACCACTACAGCCTTGTATGTGGCTTAAGAAGTATTAGCAT